TTCTGTGAGGAAATTAAATAGATGTGTCCGTGCTCTGCTCTCTTCTGCCGCTGGTTGGAGTCAAGCAGGCAATCCCTGGTTTCCTATGGAGCCATAGGGACTGGCATACAATTGGTTATGAACATAGAGGTGGATTTTTCCAGAAGCTGAAGATCAGCATTTACCCACATAGGCATAATAATAGTGTAATAATACTGACTTCATTCATAAAGGCTTTGGGGATCTGTGGATGAAAATATTCTATAAAGGTGAGCTGTTATCTGTCCGAGCCACAGTTCTTAAAAAGGGTTCTTTGACATAGACAAAACAATTAAGGCTGCACTCTTCATCACTGTTTCTTTTTCTGTTTTCTTTTACTTCTGTTTCTGGTGTTTTTATAAATCTGTGAATGCTTGGAAACAGTTTTTGAAAACATGTTTGCAGAGATTTCTAATGAGGCTTTTTGGAATGTAGCTAGTATTTAGAAAACAATTCCTAATGCAGGCTGGAAAAGCACGCATTTTCCAATCAGTTTTGTTCGTATCGCCTTGGTAAACACTGATGTTTCTTTTTTTAACTTGTGGTTCAAATGGAGCTTGAAATTAAAATAGCTCTGTTTGCTCACCTTCTTGTTTGCCTGTCACTGTCGCTGAGCTCAGCACTACTCTGCTAACAGGTTTGTTAATTGCTTTCACTGCTTCTGATGGTTTTTGCAGTAACAGTTCAGATCATGTGGATCCTCTAGAGCAGTAACTATCGCTGGGATTTCTCAGTAACAAATGTTGAAGTAAAACAAAAACATTGCAGGCAGATGTAGAATCCCACAAGCCAGGGCTGGGAGGGCCCCTCCAAGGAGGAGTGAGGGATCAGTGAAGATGCCAAGAACGTAGCAAACGAGGCTGCCCCGTGTTTGCCATACAGTGCCCCGAGCAGCCTTTCTGAATGTGGACTCAAGTGAACTGCAGCCAACACTTGAGTGCATTTAGCTGGGCAAAGCCCAAGTCCTCAGGGTTTAATAAAGTCTAGTCTAAGTTCAATGGTCAGAGTTGATAGCCTTAAAGGTATTTTCCAAACAAAAGGATTCTGTGATGATGCAAATTCTGCAGCATTATGGAGCCTTTGCATGAGGAGTCCCAGAGAGGACTGCAGCAGCTCTGACACACCACTGAGTGTTACTGGGATAGACTTTCCAGTGCCCAGTTCAGAACACAGTGCTGTTTTCTTCCTGTCAGGGCTGAAATACTTTGTCCAAATTTTTGTTTTAGATTTTTGGGTGTTCAATTTTCATGGTTTTGCTTGTTAGAACGAAGCTAATGTAAATCCGGACTTATTGTAGAACAATTATTATATATGTATGTAGAAAACCTACAGCTATCCCAGGGTCCAGTGTTTAAAAACAGAACTAAAAGGAACCCCAAAATATTCTGGATGTGAGTTTGTGCCATCAGCATCTAATGTAAAGTCATGGTAAATGTACCATGAATCCATTCCCAAGGCATGTTAAAAGCAAACAGAAAAGTTGGACATGAAGCTGTATGTGGTTGGAAAGTGCAAAGGAAATAATGTGTTTGCTGAAACCTAATCAATATTTCATGACTCTTTTTCCATTGGTTTCTTGGGGTAGAAGGATGTGTGAATTCTGGATGCCATAGATTAATCCTGCTCTGGCCCATGTTGTGTTGTGAAATTGTAAGGGAAAGCCATGGTTCCATGCAGGGTGTGTTGTCAGTGTCTGGGGGCTGCATCAGCGTTTTAACAAGGTCCAGTTCGAAGGCTTGGAGTGATGGCACTGCCTGTCTGTGTGCAGGAATAGCCCCATGGGCCAAAGGGCCACCACTGCCTGTGGCCACACCTGCCAGCTCCTCTGTCCCTCTGTGCCCAGATGGGAACAGCATGGGAGGCTAGGGGTGCCAGTACCCCAAATAATCATCTGATAACCAAGGAAAATCCTCCTTTCTACATATGCCTTTTCTACCAATGGCAATTAATGCTTTTACCTTGCATTAGTTAATGATTGCTGGTTTATTTAATAGATTGGATACAAAACAAACATATTAGTTTGCTATTGACCTGTCAATTATGATGTCTGATTACCCCTCTGGGGAGCACAGGTAGCCATTTGTCCTGACATTTTGTTAAAATAGGTGGTATTATGGAACCAGTCCACCTAATTCCTCACTCCCTGGGGCCTTTCAGTGTACTTAGCTGTAGAAAGGTGATTTCTGGAGCATGACAGCTGTTGGTGCTGGGGCCGTTGTGTGGGGAACAAAACAGGTTATATTCTGCTTGTAGGCTGCCTTTGTGTCACTGATACAGGAGCTGTTTCATAAATTAGACAGATCTTCCCAGGGAAATTGTATTCCTGCTTTCATTTCTGCAGTGCATTAAAATAAACCACCAGCACAGCAGTAGGAGGAGATGTTTGAGCTTGGCATTGCCTTGAGACCTGTTGGGTTTGTGCTGTTTGCTGCTGGCATTCCTGCCTATTTTCATTGATGAGGTACATTACAAGTAGTTTCTTTTCATGGTTGTTACCATTTTATTAATTTATTAAGAGCTGCATTTCAACACAAATATCACTTAATCATTTTTCTTCCAGAAGGAGGAAAACTCTTGGCTTTCTAGAAAGCTGCAAGTCTGTGTGTGCAGCAAAATCCAGCGTGTCAGAATTGCTGTCTGCCAATGCCAGGAATGTGAATACCGAGGTGAGGGCACAGAGTCCTCCATGGCTGATTGTGGGACTGGGAGAGCTCCACACGTGTCAGCATTGGCAGAGCAACAATTCCTGTAGCTGGGGCATAACCATTTAGTGCATTATAAGAAACGCAGTCTGAGTTTGATTTTATGTAGTGGGGGATGTCTGTAATACTTGGCACTGGTTCTTCTCGTTTCCTAAAATCTCTCCTGAAGATGTACACTTCCAGGGAAATACAAAGGGCTTTCTCAGCTTCTGAAACGTGGAAATGTTACAGATGTAGTCTGTATTATTTAATTTATGACTAAAGCCCTTTTTGCTGGCAGATCCTTGTGTAAGGAGTGTTCGAGCATTTCAAGAGCACTGACTTTAAATGGGATGATGGAGGTTCTCTGTAGGGACTTGCTTGTGTCCTGTGTAAACCTGGTTTGAAGTAGCAGGGTGGTTCTGTCCCTTGCCCAGGCATTCTTCACTGTGGGCCTGTGCTAAGCAGCCACCCTGGGCTGGCATACTTTTTGAGATATCTTCTGGAATTTTCCCAGGGCAGTCCAGTCCTTGAGATGAATCTGGCTCACCACTGGATGTCATCGTTGCACTGTGGTGAACTGCAGCTCAAAGAACATTTATCTGGCAGTAAAAAATAATGTTGCCTGACCAAAGGTGACATTTAATTTTGCCACATTCTGAATGACTTGCTGTGCAGTCATGCCATAGGGCAGGGAATTGATCCATAATGTTTCCTTAAGGGAGCAGGACAGCACTCTAGTGATTTACACAGTGTAGTGGGGCTGTGCTGAAACCTCAGCTGTGGAGCCCCACCAGTGCAAAGACATGGCATTAAAGATCTCTTGGGGATCTCAATGTGCTATGTACTTATTGAGAAGGCCCATATAATTACCACAGCTTTTAAAGAAAGTACTCTTCATCTAGTGAGTTACTCTGTCAGCTGATTATATAGAGAATATATTTCTACTGTACTTCCATAGGCGGAATTTAGAGGCCTTAAATTTTACTGGTGCTGTCTCCTATTTGTCATAGAGGAAGACCTGTTAGAAGCCTTAGATTGCTTCCTTTCTAAGTGCCACAGCAGGAATTTATCAGAAGTGTCTGACAAATAACAAAAGTGGCTCCATTTTGTATTGGTCTTCCCAGTGCATTTATGAACCTGCAGTTATCCATTCTGTGAAATGGGAATATAGGCAATCCAGAGCAGTGGGAAAAATGCAAAGTGTGTTGTACTGTGAGATGGTAAGTATTTCCTTGTCTTTCATCAGAAATTTGAAAGCTAAATGTAGTCAGGGTGAAAAAAAAAAAAACAACCCATCAAATGCAATATCATCTCTTGTCTCTACAGAAGTGTCTGACAAATAACAAAAGTGGCTCCATTTTGTATTGGTCTTCCCAGTGCATTTATGAACCTGCAGTTATCCATTCTGTGAAATGGGAATATAGGCAATCCAGAGCAGTGGGAAAAATGCAAAGTGTGTTGTACTGTGAGATGGTAAGTATTTCCTTGTCTTTCATCAGAAATTTGAAAGCTAAATGTAGTCAGGGTGAAAAAAAAAAACCCAACCCATCAAATGCAATAATATCTCTTGTCTCTTAGCTGTGTAATTGTTTTGAGAATCTCTGTTAGGTAGTGAGACCTAGAGATACATGGAAAAAACTCACATGGAGTTTATTCCCCTAGCCAGAATGTGCATGAAGTGGTGTGGAAGCTAAAATTAGTAACTACCAACGTGGCAGTAAGATTTGTGACTGGAGTACTGGTCCCAGTGGCATTGAGCTACTCTTTTATATGTGTGGCAACCTGGCTTTCCAGGTAGCTGCTCTGTACTTAAGAGAGGGATAATTTTGGAAGGGGAGTTTTCAGTTAAGCACACAACCACTCAAAACATAAGTTCCTAGTTAATTTACAAGTAAAACCGTTTCCATAAATAAATCAGCAAGAGTAAAAACTGCTCTAGGAGGTATAAACATGACCTTAGCAGTAGGTAAATACAAGTTCTTGAGGTGTTTGATAAATGGCAGTGAGCAGAGGCAGTGTTTTGTTCTCTCCTGCAAGGATTACAGAGCATCGTGCTCAGGAGAAGCCAGACCATTCAGCTCTTGTAATTTTCTGTGACCTATTAAACATGCACATATTCCTCATATTTTAGTACCACTTATCTGGTGCCATGCACAGGAAAATGGTATTAGTCATGTCAGTGAGCCATAAGAAGTTTTGTGTGAATGCAAGGTAATGCATCACTGAGAGTTTAATGATTCCTAGCAGGCTTTGACTATTTTTTTAATGCATTTCTATGTTTTACGTATTTTTTAACAGCTGAAATATTCTTTGAACCACACAAATCGAAAGCTGGTGCTGGAATCAAAAGTGTGTATCAACACTAGAATTGTGGTGGTTGGTGCATCTGATGTTGGAATCTCTTTTCTGGAAACGCTGGTTTTTTGGTAAGTTTTAAATTTTATTTCCTCTGCTGAAAGGGATGTGTTCCCTTTTGTATGAAGGGGGTTATTTCTTGCATTTAAAGCATTCTGAGTCTTTCTTAATATACTGGGTGTTAAATGTCTGAGCATGTGTGGATGGAGAGATGGGTGCTGGCATCCTGGATGCCTTGGGACTCACAGGATTCCAAGCAACTCCCAGTTGCACGTGGACCCCTAAGGGGAAGGCATGCTGAAAATGTGTGTTGAAAAGACCTAAAGTTGCTTTGGCCACTTTCTTAAACCTCAGTCTTGTGAGGGAAGGTGGAGTCAATGGCCCCTGGCATGTGCTCCCAAGCAGTACTGGCCTTTAAAGCCAGTTGTTCCTGGTGGGATCCCAAACCTGTCTGATCCCCCTTTCTCTAAGTCTAAGGCAGGGAAACCTGTGGATGAGTTCTGCTGTTTAACAGCCTTCCCAACACGAGGACAGGGTATTCTCTCTGATGTCTCACTGGTGTACTCTCCAGGGGCTTACTGGGCAGTCAGGCTGTGACAATGCAGTTCCTTTGATGCAGAGCTTAATCACACATACTAGAAAGACTTGCGGAAATTAATATAAAATTCAAAATCTGAACATGATTCTTCAAGAACTGAGAGAATTGTCTGGTGCTTTTATGGGGGGTGGAGAATGGAAAATTCTGCCTTTTTTTCTTTTTTCAGTTAAGCTAGGAGTTTGTATTTCTACAACAACCATTGATAACATCACAAATTATATTTTCAATACATCAAGAGAGGAATAAGTTTAAGTGCTTTATAGATGTTGTATTGCTGGAGCAGTGTAGAGGAAAATTTCTGCTTCTTGCCCTTCTCATAGTTCTTGATTTCTGTAAAGCATCCCATCTGAAGGTAAATAGTTTCCCCTCATCTTCTTGCTCTCAGCACGTTTTAGGCTTTCAGTTCCACCCCAGATTCAGTTAAACCTGTCCTTTAGAGCTTCTAACCCATTTCTTGTTGCTCACCCTGTGCTGTTTGTTGCTGTCATTTCATTATAAGGCACTGTGGGGGAGCCAAAGCGTGTTTGTGCTCCAGGTGTGGCAGCTGACTCTGTCCACAGTGAACAGGCCTTTGCAGGTGTTGCCCTTGGAGCTCCCTCCAAGCCTTTGCAGCCAGGGCTTGAATTTGAACCAAACTCTGGCAGAGCTGCAGGACACATCCTCCTTGAGCTTGTCTTGGCACCCGGCCTCAGACGTGGGGTGCTGCTCGGAGAACCACAGAGCCAGCACTTAGTGCAGTGTCACAAAATTTATATTAATAGAGGGATAAATTTGCAAAAGATTAGGTTTTAATTTTCACTTCAGCAGCAAATAGCCTCCTGATCAGTGTGAAGGCCTTTTAAAACAATTTAGTTTAATTTACTCATAATTTTCTAATATTCCCTGCAAAGGTTACATGCACTAAAAATAGCTGGACTGAATCAATTTGCGAGTCCTAATCCTTAAAAAGAGGAAGTCGTTTTCTCATCATTATTCTTCATACTTAATTATTTTACATTACCAGTCACCATGGAAACACATAAATGTAATTCACTTACTGATGTGGCAATTATTGGAACTCGATCTTGCAAGTGTTTTCAACTTCTTTGAGACTGAAGAGATCCATTTTTCATTAAGCAGAGAAATGACCCTGGGAATGAGCTCTGCTGCCCTGTGGCAGGACACCTCCCACTCCCATTGGCAGCACATCCCGGGGTGCAGTGCCATGGAGCAGCCATGGCACCACTGCTTACCTACCCAAACTCCAAAGGAGCTTCAGACAGCTCAGGCAGCATGTGCAGGTATATGTTTTCAGCTGTAGAGCTGCTTTACTTGAGGATGCACAGGGATTTTTTTGTTTTTTACCAGAGGGCCGTGTGCATGCAGCAGTGCTGCAGTAGCAGGGGCAGACCCATTGCCTGGCCAGCTGTTGGTGTGACAGCAGCTCTGGGGGTGCAGGTGTCACAGTGCTTGTTTGGTTGGCTGGTTTTGTTTTTTAGTTGATTCCTTTGCTAGTTTCAAAGGGATGGGCAGGGCAGCAGGGTTAGACCAGAAGGACATATGGTTACAAATCCCGGTGTTTCCACTTAGTCCCAATGCCTGGTTCCTGGAGCAGAATGCAAACCCAGGCAGCAGGGATAGAAGTTTGGCTTAAGGATCATGGAGCTTGCTTGCAGCAGAGTCTTGTCACTGGTTCCAGTGCAGGGAACCCATTGGCTTTTATCCACCTCTTTGCATATTGCTGTTGAAAGTATTATTGTCTTCAATTATAGGGAAAACCGTTTTTAATCCATGGTCTTGAAAACCTCCTTAATCCAAATCCTGATGTAAACAATGACTTCTTCTCTGAGGACATTGGAATGTACGTAACATGCTACATCAGATGGCTAGAAATGAATGTGGTGCCTAATATCACAATATTTAATGTGAAATTGTTATGAAATTTATTTCCTTCTTCCTACGGGCGCATGAAAATAATTATTGCATTCAAGAATCAGATGGAATTAAGTACATTTTTATCAAAGGCCTGAATTTTTTTCTCAAAGTAGAATTGGAATCCATCACAATAAGCCCGAGTTTTTCACTGCAGGACAGTGTCTCCTGCTGGGAGCTCGGGGTACCCAGGATCAGCTCCGAGGTGGCAGGGTTTGAGCAGGGTTCGTGTCAGAACCCGTTATCTGGCAGCACTGGGGCACACAGTATCCCACACATCTGGCCTGTTTGGCTGTAGTTAGCATAATGCTTGATCGTTAATTAGGCTTTTTATCTTTGCATTTGTCTGGGAACATCTGAAGCCTTCCATGTTGCCTGTCACTAATTAGTTGACTAATTAAATAGTTAGTGCTTACTTGCTGATCACAGAGCTAACATGCAATGAATGGGTTAGTGATGCCCACTGTTTTGTCCTATCTGTCTTTGCCACATGAGCTGACACACATGTGCTTCCCTCTGCCTTCCCTTCAGAGCAAGGCGAGCCCAGGCCATGTGCTCAGTGTCCCTGGGCTGCATCCCTCAGTCATTGTTGCCTTCCATCACTTCTGGTGAGCAGAGCTCAAGTTGTGACAGAGATAAATCAGATGGGTCAGAGCTGGCCTTGTCACACAGTCGGCATCACAATGAACGCTGGCAGTGACTGATACAGGACATAAACAGGGAGAGGATGTGGGTCAGGATCAGCCTTCCTAACAGCCTCTGCCAGAAAATGAGACTCAATTAGCATCAATATGGGCTTATTTTATAGTTGCAATCTTGCTTTTGGGACTGTCTGCAGTTTTAAATAAGATTATTTCAACTTGAAATACTTGCCTTTTGAACATATGCAAACATGTCTCTGAGCCCAAACTGTTCCTTCACACTTGAAATTTGTAAGTATTTGTAGATTTTTTTTCTTGTTACTATTTATATTTGAATACTCCTAACTTCTTGGTGAGTATTAAAGCTGATCTTGGAAATAGCAGTTTTCTTATAAAAAGCCTGCTCAAAATTGGAATGAGTCACAAGGGTTTTTATAGAATGCTGGGCTGCATCTGTCATATCCTCCTGGTGACTCAGCAGGACATCAGCAGCTCTGAGCCTGGTAACCTGGTACCTCCGATTGATGCAGTTCAGAGCAAATACAGCAGCATTCCAAGTGCAAACACTGCGCCGAGGTTCTCCAGCTCTCTGCTAAACCTATGGGGGAGATGTCACCACTTTCTCTTCTGTTCATTGGTTTGAAGTTTGTTCCCAAAGCTGCGGAGAGAGTGCAGTGTTGAGCCCTCCAGAGCAGTGTCCAGGCTGCCAGAGGGTTGGCTTGGAAGCACAGCAGACTGGGCAGGCTGCTGCAGTGGAGAAAAAAACGACTTGTCTGGCTAAGCTGTGATCCTTCCCAGTAGTGATTAGCATGGATTTGATTCCTGTTTGTGTGTGTGTACTGTGAGGGCCAGAGTGAGGGTGCTGAGGTGTGGAGGTCAATAATTGAAAGATGGATGTTTGGGATCAGTTGTGGCCCAGCTGACTCCTCTGCCAGCTGTGTCCCTGTCCTTCCTGGGCTGCCAGCCTTATGTCCTGAGGACCTGGCACTGCGGGGTTGCCTCAGAATGTGCAACTTCAATGAGTTTTGTGTTCTGCTGGCAGGAGGAGCACATGTGGTTAAACCTCAACCCTTCCAGGTTTAAGGGCTGTCTGCCTGGTGGCATCTGGGAACATTTCAAGGGTGCCCACTCTGAAGGCAGCATTGCCAGATTTGTACCAGGCTGCATCATGGAGTCAGAGTACTTACCTTCTCTGCAATAGTTTGGAAAATTGGAGTTAAGTGTACAGCCATAAAAACCCCATCACCTTAGTTTTAAACATAGGTAATTGGCCAATAATACTGAAAATGTCCTATTAGCAAGCTGGAATCTGCACTGTGTGTTACTCACTGAAGCACTCTCACAGCAGTGGGCACATTGATGAAGTTTCTACCACACTTTAGTTTTACTGCCCAATTTATGGCACCTTTGTTTGTGGGAAATGGTGTTGATGTTTCTCAGCTGTGGTTTGGAATCTGCAAGGTGATTAAACAGCAAGAGACTCTAAGTACCAAGGCCATCATCAGATGTCCCTCATTTTCTATCTAGAAAAGTAATTGCTATTTTTGAAGAAAATGAAATGCTGGAACACTTGTGGAATGGAAATTGTAATTTTCCGAAGGAAGCACTGAAGCAGTGGTTGGATAATGCTTTGATTAGGTCAGACTCAAAGCTAACTTAGATTTGGGATGGCAGAGCTGCCCTATTGAATGCTGTAGCTGTGGAAGGATATGGATGGTTCTGATTTAGCTGTGTGTTTTCAGTGGGCAGGGAAAAGAGCTCTTTAGTTTTCCCTGCCCTATTTCAGAACAATTCCTACTGTAGGAACTTTGCCATGTGGTTTAGTAACCTAGATTGAGAAAATGCCGCAGATCTTGAGTGGATGCTCTAGTTTTTGTAAGCAAAACCAGATTCTGGGAAGTGAGAGGTGACTGGAAGGGACCAAAACAGTGAAGCCACAGGAGGGGGCCAAGGTGTTTTGGAGTAATGAGCTATAAGGTGGATGGGAGTTCAAAAGAAACTGGAAAGAGACATGTTTGGTAATGTTCAGCGAGAAATCAAGGTTGTAGACTGATGTAAAGCAACCTAAAAACCTCAGAATTAGTAAAGGAATTGGAAGGCAACAGAGTCTAGAGTTCCTAGTATTTTTAATTATATTGCCTAGGAAAAGGGACCAGCACAGAGGACAAGAGACAAGCAATATAACCACAGTAAAATAACCACAGAGAAGGAAATCTAGGGCCAATCACTTGAAGGGGGAAGAGTGAGAGGAGTAGACCTAGCAGGAGAATCCAAATTTAACTGGAGAGGAACAGCTTCTAAGAGAGAATTGCCTGGGTTTGGCTGGGATAGAGTTAATTTGCTTTCTAGTAGCTGTGTTTGGATTGAGTATGAGAATAATGGTGATAACTTGCTGATGTAATTGTTACTAAGTAGTGAACCATCAAGTTCAAAGTCTGGTGAGAGACCCAGCTACCAGTGGTGAAGAGAGAAGCATTCCCAAGCATCCATGAAGGGTTTTAGTCAAAGGGTGAAGGAAGTGTTCTTTAGATCTTGAATGGATTCTTGCTAAGATGTTGAAAATGGTGACAGTGGTGGCTTTCATGGCCTGGGCTTAGAGGTTGCTCTTCTTAGGATGACAGCATCTGATAAAATTTCCAATAAACCTGGCAGGAAGTTTCTGGGGGAAAAAAAACCAAACCAAAAAAAAAAAAAAAAAAAAAAAAAAACAAAAAAAAAAAAACCAAAAACAAAGCACTGTTTCATCAAAATAGAAGTTTTTGAAGGGACCCTGTTGTTTTAATACCAGGAGGAAGCAAGTGGGGCATAATGAAATACTTTGCTGAGAGAGGAAGAGTTATCATGGGCCAGGTTGTGTGGAAAGCCCCTCGCTGACCCTTGCATTGACAGGTGTCCCAGTGAACACTGTGCTGTCATCCCTTCTTTTATTGAGCAAATTCATTCACCATCTTAACACTTTTTCCTAAGGCCAATCCAAGGGAGAACTGGCTAATATTTGTTTACTGGTAATTGAAGAGGGATATCTTGGAAATGGACATCTGTTGGTCAGCAGTGAATCTGGAATCCTGCTCTGGGGGCTGTAATTGATTCCCTCGGAGTAGGTTCTTGAGGAGAGGTGCTTTTGGTAGGTGTTGATACAAACAACAAACCCTTCTGCTGCTGCAGCTAAGTATGGCTGTCTGGGGAGGCAGAGGCAGCAGAGGGGAAGGAAAACACTGGGGCTGGCAAAGGAATTCAGTGGAGAGACAGCATGGGAACAAATTGCTTGGGAAGGGGCTGCAAGCAAGGCTGTAGTACTGAGTAGCACATTTATTCTAGAGGGACAACTTGAGTGAGTGGGACTTCTTTCTAGTTATTTGTATGGGCAACCTTTGTTAAGCTGGGCACTCCCAGCTGGAGTTTGGTGTGGAGCTGGGAGATCTGTTAGAATACTTTTTCCTTTTGGAGAAGTGCCTTCAAGTCACATCCTGACTACTGTGTTCTTGAAATGTTTCGTTAAAAGAAAAAAAAAAGTGCTGTTTTGGATAAATTGTGACATTTGTGGGAGAAAGGAGAACTGTCTCCATCTGCCTTGTACAGTGACAGTGACACCTGGACATGCCAAGTTCCTGTGCCTTGACCACAGGTTATGGCCTGTTGGGACTCTTATCATCATCTCTGCTTCTGGGCTCCTTCCTCCGTGCAAAAATTTAGTGATCCTTTTTTGTTTCAGGACAGAGAATTTTCTGATTTCCAAGTTTTGTTAATGCAAGACTTTATCACATCTTACTTTTCAGTGTTTAGTAGCTGAAATCAGATTTTTTTACCATTTTCAGAATGATTTCGAGCTGTCATTTTTGTAAGGGCTCTGCTGCAGTGAAGCTGAGGATCCAGTGTCATTAGGACTTTACTTTTGGATAGGTTATAATTTCAGATATTATTGTTTAAAAGATTATGTGCACAGGAGAACAGTTCACATAGTTACCAACTTTAGGAGGCAGATAATGCTTTATCTTCTTTGTTTTAGTTTTTATTGGTAACTGGGAAAATAATCTTATAAAATGCAAGATTTCAAATAAATTAAAATCTCTGGTTCATGAAGACTGCTTTGCTGCACTTTATTTTTTGTAACAAAAGTGGTTTGACTTGTTGGGATAATGAGGGGTTAAATGAAAGCAAGTAATTAAATTATTTGCTCAAGCAGTTTCCACCATCTAAGCCTCCATCATTATGCCACACACAGAAGGAAAAAAAAAGATAGACATCAGGCAAAAAAATCCAGCAAAATGAGCAAGGAATACTCCAACAAATTCACAAACACCAGGATATACATGTAAAAACTGTACTAAAACTTTTCTGTGTCCTTTTGATTATGCTCAGTAGATTGGTAACCCTGTTTTATTTTGAGGACAAGGGTGTTTCAGAGTCTTTTTGTAGCTGTCCTCTAGATCTGTGCACTGAAACCTAACACCTTTTACTTATTTCCCTAGATACTCTAATCCCTCTCTGCTTTACCAGTATCTTTGAGCTGTTCTTCCCTCTGTATCCACAGCAACGTGAATCCCTGCTGGAATTATTTGCTTCTAAAATGCAGGTGCACTTGTTTAACGTTGCACTGGTTCAGGCTCTTAACTTGAAGACTTTTTCATCAAATGGGAACCTCCACTTTGCCCTGTTTCATGTTGGGCATTGTTATTAGCAGCATCTGAGTCAGTCCCTGTCCTGACAGCACTGCCCATGTCCAGGGCCTTGGTTATTCTTCAGTTAAGAGCTTTTAGGCACCGGTAAGGAGTCCAAAGCTGTAGTAAATGAGCCATCCTTTTGTTAGCCTAGAAATAATAAAGCACAGAATCCCCCACCTGTCACCCCGTGGTGACTCTACCAGTGCCAGCAGGAGCTGCAGCTCCCCTCTAGTGCTCAGGCTTGTCCTTAAGTGTCTCTATGTGTGTGTAAATGTATTTGAAATCCTGGGGTCACACGTGCCAGCTATGCTTTTGGAGCCAGGCCTTTGTAACACAAGATACAACATTTGTTACTTATTTAAAATTCTGATAATTTGCACAAATACCGCCAGGCTGTGCTTAAACACTGACCAAATTCTGACACTTAGCAGGGATTTGCTTCTGTGTGTGGAGATGGGGCTGTTGTTTGCGTGGAGCTGTGCAGCACGGGCACCAGCCCCTGAACCACCCTGCCCTTGGGGAGCTGCCAGCCACCCTGCTTTGTGCCTGGCTTTTCCTCAGTGTAAAGGGGGAATCAGAGATACAGCTTGTTCCATCTCATTTCATCCAAGAAGATGCTAATCAACATTTTAATGCCAATGAGATGAATGGGTGGGAAACATGAATTGATATGGGGATGCCGTGGGAGCGCTGAGGTAGAAGTAAATCATTAGTTAGTAAATTGTGCTGACTGAAAGGTCTGATTGAAGCCTCCCACTCAGTGGGGAAGAAGGGAACAAATACCAAATGACTGGGGAAACCCTGGATGCCTGTGTGTGGAATCAATAGAGGTGGAGCATCTGCAGAGGAAAATGGTATGTGACCAGATCAATAAAGTGCATCATCATGCAAAAGAGGCACATTAATAGTGCCTAGAACTTTGGTTATGCCGTGTTTCTGATGCTTGCTCACAAGGTTTCCATCCTAAATATTAACAGTATTTAAATGTAATGTTACTGTACCCCTGGATTTGAGCACCTGTTGGTAAGAGACCGTGCAGGATGTATAGATGATTTCAGCTCCACACTGAAATGAAATCTCCTTGCTGTGGGGTTGGGAGGATGTGTAGCATGTTTGTGTAATTGATCCCATGTAAATAAATGCCAAGGAGCTGAGCTCTGTCTGTGTGTGAAGTTCCTGTAGTTGTTGTTCGCACCCCAAGAGCGACATTCCCGGTGTGCAGATGGCATCACTTGAACACTGCCTTCAGCTTTGTGGATCAGGCTCACTCTCATTTACATTAAGACCATTTTGTATCACTCAGGCAGCATAAGGTGGCCATAAATGAAAAGCAAATTCTATTTACATCCACCTTTGCAGAGTGACCTTAATTTAAATGAGAATCAGGCCCATAATCTGTATAAATATATGCACTCTGTTACATTAAGGTTATTTATTACTTTGTGTTTGGCCTGAGTATGCATGGAGATTTACCACAGATAATCCCTAATCCAGAATTAAACTATTAATATGCATTTTGAGAGGGGTAGCCATAACCTTGAAATTCCTTGGTTTAAGTATGACCTTTAACTTTGTTTGAATATATTTTTTAAATGTATGAATAACAAATTAACATTGGTTGATAAAAAACATTCTGATTCCTTTGTACCATTTGCATCAGTCCATCCTTAACTTACAGAAAGCCTTGAAGATTAGAAGGCTTAATCACTCATCATATTTACTTGTTTTCAAATGTCAGATCACATTTAGTTCAACATACTGTCAGTCTTGTCCCCCTCCTCGCCCGGCATCACTGCAACTGTGGTGGAAATTGTTCTTCTCTTTATATCCAGAGACACCTGAATCTGTGCAGAGTGAAACACTTTGACCCTGTGTAGAGGAATTGCTTTCTGTATCCTCCTGAACGTGGAATTCTGAGCTATACTGTCCCTTGGATGTGCCCTCCAAATTTCTTCTAACTGGGGCTATTTTGTTTTTCTTTCCACAGGCCGCGTCTGAAGTTCAACAACCTGACCTTGATTTCCATTCACGGCCTTCCAGGAAAAGACCCACAGAGCTCCAAGTATAGAAGATTTTTAATTAGCAGGTTTGACTTCATGTCTAAACGCTTCCATAGCACCTGCTGAAAACATAACACTCTGTAATTCTTGTGAACTTGTCCTAAATTTTAGATACATGCGTAGAGAGCCCCAAAATACTCCAATCTGTCTATCCAGCATGCACTCACCTACAAGAGGAGCTGGATAGAATTATGAGTAGGGAAATAGTGCCAAAGCAGTAACTTCAGGACAGCAATCCACTGTGTTATACCTAAATTGTGGGCCCTGCTTTCTGAGGCTTTTTAGATTGTTTAAATCTCCAGGCTGAAGACAAATGACACAAGATGTCTGGTTGCTTTTTAAATCTTGATTAGCTTTTAGCTTCCGTGAGTTTTGTTCTAAATAATGCTGAACCAAAGAATGTACAAGAATTAATATTGGTAATGTGATGGGGACTGACTTTGGGCAGTGTGTGGTAGGATGCAGAGCCCAGCAGTGATAGTGGGGTTTTTGCTTGGTACAGGGGAATTGTTGCTGTTGATCAGTTTGTTCTGCATGAATTCTGCTGCTCGTGGGCTGTGAGTGCCAGTCCCTGGGCCATGGCAGTCTGTCCCCATTCTCAGCCACAGCACTGTCCCAGAGCAGGGCTGTGTACAGCTGAAGGGAAATGGTGGAAGAGACTTGTCTAGGGACTGTCAAACACTTTTCAGATTTCCTTGTTTGCCAGTAAATATAGCTTCCATTTAATCAGATAAAATCTTACCTCTTTAAAATTCCCAGTACATAATTATCATTTAAATACAGTATTTTTGGGGTTTATTTTGGACTAAATCATCGCTGTGGACTTGAACATGATTGTTTTGAACATTGAGAAGCATAGAATTAAAATGGATCAGTTATTCTGAATAGCTGGGGAATGAATTTAGACTAAGTTATTTAGATTTGGCATGTGACTCTTAGGAGCCTTTACATTGTATTTTACCAAATCTTTTCCTCTGTGAGCTGCAGTGCACTAAAGGGCTGGCTCTTTAAATGACAAAACAGCTCCATATCTGCTTGCTTACAAATGGAACTTCTACAAAGATGTGAAAATAATGTAGTGGGAACCTGTTTAAAACCATCTGATCTCATTTGGAATTTTGCCCTGACAAGACATTTTGTAAAAGTAGTTCCTTTGTTACTTTTTAAACTGTAGAAAGGGGTGTGTTCAGGTGCAAATCTAACAAATGAAGGAATTATATTCTCACATAAATGCACATAGTCTCTTTCCTGAGTTCACTGTAGAAAAGAGATGTACTAACAAAGCATCCTTCCTGACAGAAAGTTGCAGTTCAGAACCACCTCACCAGATTTAGCTGTTAAAATCTGAAAGCAGATTAAGAGTGAAAATTGAACTCTGCAGGGTATGATTTCTAAAAGCATCCCTGTGATTTTGGAGTGTCTGTCTCCTTGGAACTGTGCACCTCAATTATAGAGGTGCTTTTGAAAACTTCCCTCTGTCCTTAATGTCTCTTTTATTTACAGATTTCTGCATTACTACAGTTCAGAATTGTCAGTGGTTTTCTTCCCTTATTTTTTTTCACTCTGGTGCCTCTGAGGATGCAGAGCATCACAGAAAGCCTGGCAATTCAATCCTAAAATTCTCCAGGCTGTGCAATCAACTGTATTTGTTCCTGTGGCATCCTGAATGCCAGTTTTGGGAGTTTGGTAGCAATGATTAACCTAGAACCAGGAGCTCTGTACTGGGATGTGTGTCCTGATATTAATGGCAAAGCAGCAGCTGTCAGTGCTGGTCTCTGCCTGCACTCTCTGCTGCAGCTGCTGGTGCCACAGAAAAGCATCAAATGCTTGAGCATGGGCCCAGCCCCTTCTGTTTAATCACTTTGAGGCCTGTGGGAGAAAGTGGAGTATTTTTCATCACTAAGTATACATAGAAAGCAAAGTTTTTGGGTCTCTAAATAGCCATGTATTTTCTGTGGTGACTTGAGCTGACAGCCTGGGTGAAACCCAGAGTCTCTGTACTGGGCATTCCCCTCCTGAGGTCCTGGCAGGGGTGAGACTCAGCTTCTTTCACAGAGTTTGTTCACAGTGTTTCTTCTTGCAGTGCTGCTCTGGTCTCACAAACCAGACACCTGTGTGACACCAGCCATTCTTTTTTTGTGTGTGTTTTAAACCTGTTGCATTCTTTTTCACCAGATCCTGTGAGTTTATTGCTCTACAAAGCTAAAAATGGGTTTGTCCACTTCTACTGAAAGAACCTATCTGAATAGGCTTTGCCTGGTGCAGGTTTTCAGTATTGGGGAGGGATGGAGTTGAGCCCAGCTGGATCTGCACAGTGGCCAGCAGCAATCTCTTGCGCATTTCCATGGTGGGCCATCACCAGGCTCAGTAGCCACAATGGATCTAATTGGGAATGTTCTCACATTTTATAGTGATATGTCTGTTGCACATCTGTATGGAAGCATTTTATCTACAGGAATCTTTGTCTTTGCTGAAGGCTGTTATTAAGCAGAGAGGGTGGTACAAATGCAGTAATAAGTGCCTTGGTATTTACTTGGTTGAACATTCTTGGTGGGGGCACACTCTGAGCCTTTGGAAATAATTGTAATTTTCATTGCTGAGGCATTAAAAGAGGTTTTGTTCCATTTGGATTTTGCTTTAAAATTGTTTTTTTTTAAAATAGCAGCTTCCAGATATTTTATACTTCTCTCATGCATAGGTATATCTGATGCTTTTTGTTTGGAACAGGGTGTAAAACCCCTAAAACATGAGAAAAGCAAACCTTGTCTGTGACTGCCAAAGCCAACATGTGATTTTTAGGATACTGGTATGGAATTCACACTGTTAGAGCACGTTGCTTGTGATGTGTGCTCCATGCACACCCAGAACATCCTGGAGTGCACCACTCAGGAGCAGTTAAGTGTGCTTTCGGTATTTGTCATTCTTGCATTGTGAAACAGTCCTTTTGGAAAGGGGTCACCAGTGGGAGACTTGAGATCTCTGCCTTTTACTTCTAGTTCTGACAACCGTTTTCCTAGCTTTCTATTTATTTTTAAGCTTTTTGGACTAATACTTTGGAATACGGATGCTAAAATGCTAGGGTGGGTTCCCTGCATTTGTGTCTCACCGTAGCTATGACTGGTGAAGTTGAATAGCAAAGGAAGGAAAGTTGAGAAAAAGCTGAATAAAGAAGTCTTGTCTTGGAGAAAATGTTGTACTGTTGAATTATTTTCTTTGCAAGTTAAAAAGCTTCTACCTCCAATCAGTCTGCAAAGGAAAAGCAGAATAAAGCATAGATTTCTGATTTTGTTCTTAAATTACGTGGTTGTAAGGCCCAATGCTGGAAAGCCTTGTTTGGGTTGAGCAGAAAGCTGTCAATTTGTAACTGAGTATTTCCTAATGCCTAATCTTTTACCACAGACTGCAGTAAACTCACAGCAAGGGAGCAGGCGGAACCACTGGGGGCCTGGGCTGAGCTCACCAGATGTCTAATTAGTGCCTGCTGTCAGCTGCCGAAATGTCACTTACAGATATTTTTTCTTTGCAGCCACTGTTTCAATGATGAAGATTATGCACAGATGTCACTTTGTTCCTGGGTTAACGTTGTGGTTGGTAAAATGACGGGCATAAACCGCAGTGCCAAATACGTTGTTGTTTCCAAGGAGAAGAAAGTGCCGTACGACTACCTGGTTCTGTGCATGGGACAGAGCTACCAGGTGAGCTGTGTGCAGAGTGAACCAGCACAATATTCCCAAGCTTTCTACAGTGAGTGGTGTTCCTGAGGCTAGGCAGAGCAGCCTTAGCAAGGGTAGCACCAGCAGTTTGCAGCCCTGTAGTGTGCAGCAGGTTGTAGGGCAGTGTCGGTGCTGCTGCCGAAGCTGGAGGAGAGGAGGGTCAGACAGTTTCCCACCAGCAGTTTACTGCTCAGGGTTGGGCAGGAGGCAAAGCTGACTGTGTTTTTGCCACCATAACCATTAAGCCTGCTAAGGAGCAGGCTCAACTGACATGTGGTCCCAGCTACAGGAGACTTAACTCCAGCTGGCCTAACACCATTTGACCTAGTTTTGGAAATGGAGAGAATTCCTTATCAAATTAATTACTTATCTCACGTGATGACCATGCCTAGGCACGTCCATGGTGCTGTTTGGTATTGTAGCACACAGCTGAGTTTCCAGTGAGATTGAAGCAGATCCTTAGCTGCATGTCAGATGTGGAATCAAGTTGAGCTCCAGCCCCACAGCTTCTACTCAGACTCCCTGGGCAGGGTTGCTTCTGGCTCCTGTATGCCCATGAGGCCATCAGGCCCCATAACCAAATGAGCAGCCTGGTACAGCCCTTTTTGTTGCAGGGCTTTACCTTACCTGGGTGGTTTGGGGTAGAAGTTATGAGCAAGACATTTTGCCTTTAAAATCAGGAGATGGATGTGAGCAATGTCTGCAGCTTTGCAGTGCTGTACCACGTCCCACAGCGGTGTCTGGCTGCCTGTGTGCTGTGTGGTCTGATCCCTTCTCAGAGCAGAGGCATACTAAAACAGCAGCCCTCCCACAGCGGTGTCTGGCTGCCTGTGTGCTGTGTGGTCTGATCCCTTCTCAGAGGCACACTTAAACAGCAGCCTATGGGCACTGCTCAGCAGGGATGAAGCTGAAGTGTGGGCTGGAAAAATGCTCCTAGGAAAAGGTGTTTGGAGGTAACTCTGACTTGCAAAATATTTTATGGCAAGTAACTGCAGTGAGGGAGAAAGCTAAAGATAGCAAGGGAAAAAGCAGGTTTTGTCTGCCTTTGAGGAGAAATTCCATCATTATCATTCATTCTCACTTTCAAGCTATACAAAAGGATAAGAATTGAGTGGCTTCTGCTTTATTACACAGAGCTCTAGTCCATCCTTTTTGTAAGTTGTTCCTTATTTGGTAAGCCGTCAAATTAATGCTTAGTAAAACATTATGTGTTATGATTTAGAGATTTACTTGTTGAGTAAGATCTTTTGGTGTCATGCTTGGTTTTATATGACCCAGCAGTATTTCAGTTGTTCTGGCTGGCAGTGAGAACAGGGTTCAGGATGTGGCTCAGTGGTGCTGAGGAAGTCAGAGACAAAATTGCCTTTTTGCTTTGTACGGCTCAAACTGAGTTTGTTATTGTAAAGCAGCATTACCCAGTGAACGTGTTACCGAATCTTCACATTTGAACTGTCAAACAGGTTTTGATCCCTTTCTCTGGGACAAAATCTGTCATTGTAGAAGGCTGATTTTTGCTGACAAAAGGTGGAGGTAGAGCTGTTAAAAGTGATCTGTTATTCAGAGAGCTGTGGAGATTCCCTGCTGTGTGTTGGGACATTTCTGCTGTCTGCTGTGCAGTCCCTGGCGTTTGCCACGTGCGCTTGCACTGGCAGCACTGTTTGAAGTGGTCAGCCACATCCCACAGGAAACAGGGAACACCTGCACACGTGTGCACTCAGATTGATGGGATCCGTGTTCCCTGTGGCCATGGGTGTGTTTGCTGCTGCTGAGTGTGACTAAGGGTTGGGATATGCCAGAACAGCAGCCCTTGGGTAGCCAAAGTGAGAGTGTCATTGTGTTTTGACATCTCCAAGGGCTGTGCCATATCCACTCACCGACTCATTTCTTCAGGCCTTGGCTCCCATGGAAGCAGATATCAGTGAAGTCATGAGCCACAGGCCACAGAGGTACACAGAGAAAGTCCCTCCCAATCACTTCACTCTCAATGACACCCAGGACTGCTTGGAGGCAGCACTCTGGCTGGAGAAAAACCTCATCAGATCCACAGGTAAGGGGCTTCGTTAGTACACACACGTACAGAAATGTTTCCTAGGCTTATTATTTCCTTTATTCCCTGGTATAATTGGTGCCTGATGAATTCTAACAGTCTTTCATCTGCTGTGCTTTGTTTTCCAGATTAATTTAGAATTTTTGGTTATTTTTGATACCCAGCATATTTAGCTGGGGAAAGAAAGGTTTGAGATAGATTAATTATCTGCAGTTATTATAGAAAACCAAATGAGTCCCAGATGCAAATCTGTCTGGAGTCATTAATTCACCAGTGAAATTATAATTTAATTAGTGGATGTGGTTTTCTGCTGTATAGAAAAAAAAAATCTAGATTTGTGGCATAACACAAAGAAAATAAGCTTAAATTAGGAAGTGTCTCTTAGCATTGTATTCAGTTGCATCAGTGAGAGATTTTCACATAGAACTGCAAGTTCCTGGTACTTTTTAACCCTTAAAATCAGATGTTTATGCCAATGTGCACCATCCCTGTATTTCCTCAGCCTTGTCATGTGTGCTCTGTTTGTATGTTCACTAGCTCATCCACTGTGTGTGCGCTGTGGAAAATACCTGGGACCATCCAGGTTTCTGAGTCAACTTTGAACTAGAAAAACAGAGACCAAAGAGTCAACAAGTTTATGAAATGTCAGTTCCTGCTGGCTCTGAGTCAGGACAGCTCAGAGCAGGAAAGCTGTCTTTGTGGGGAATTCCTGCTGGCAGAATGCAAGAGCAGGACTTTCCTGAAGATGTGTTTTACCTGCCTTGTTTGTGGAGTGTGATGAGAATTGGCAGTGCTTTGGTGTGGTGCAAGGTTCACACCTGCTTGGCAGTCCTTTAGGGAAGTTCTAAAAGCATTGGGAATTCCTTTATCATTCTCCAGGTCTTGCTGTGATCAGCACAGGGCTTCATAAACATGGCAGTGTTTCTTGGCCAGCTTCCTGGCCTCTGGAGCAGTCCAGCTCCACCTGTCCTCCAGCTGGTACCAGCCCTGCCCACATAGCCTTACCTGGTATCCAGCTGCTACAGCAGCTGACTTTGCATAGACAGATGAGGGTGTTAGCTTTCTCTGTTTGCTGCTGCTAGTCCTTCTTGTAACTCCCTGTGTGCCCAGTGCTGGAATGTGCTCCGGTGCCTCTGTGCAGGTTGTGCCTGGGAGCAGCCGCTGGCTGGGATGCAGAATGCCAGGAGGACCAGTCACTCTGCAGCAAATGGCACAATCGTGTTGTCTCACCTGCTTTGGCATGGGCACACCTGCACTAGCAGCAGTGCTGAAGCCATGGGATGTTCATCTTGACTTTGTTATTGCTGCTGGCCTTGGATGCAAGGTGGAGCTGCATCTCTTAGTGAGGCCCTGGCCTGGCTTCATGTGTAGAGAAGGTAAATTCACACCACCAGTGAGGCTGGTCTGGAGGCACTTTTGGAGATGTGGCCTAGCAGAGATGTGACACCTTCCCCTTTCCCCCTGCTCTGGCTTCAGTTCCCTCTCCTTGCTCTTCCCATCACGTTCTCTACTGCTGTGCAGAGTGCCCATCTGGAGAGGTCTTCCTCCACTGATCTCAGTTCCACTTATTCCTCACCCTGCTTCTTCTTCCAGCTGTGTTTCTTACAAACATCGTTCCTTCAGTCTTGACAGCTCTTGAAAGCTCTGGGAGGGCTTTCTGCTGCTGAGGGCCTGGGAGCAGGGCAAGCACTGGCCCCATGGCTGCCACTGTGGCTTTCTGATGAAACCCAGCCACCTAATGCATGGAACCTATTACAGCTGTAATTGGGACTAATTGAAATTCATCTCCTATTAGCTCTGCACTTTCCATGAAAATAAAAGTAGGATGGAAGTAAAGTAAGGAACAAAACTGCTTTAATGGCCCAAAATGAAGCAATTTTTTTTTTTCCCTTCACCTAAGCATAGTTTACTGCCTTATTAAAAGTGTGTTTTGTAAGCATACTCCTGCATTAAAATTCCAGTGCATGAATCACCAACTGGAGCCACCAATGCTTTAGCTCATACTGGGTTTCTCCTTTGGCTTTTGCAAACTGCAAAGATTCAGGTCACATTAGGGTCACCAAAATCTTGTGCTTCTTACTTGTGGAAAATTAATGAGTCTGCTCTGCAGCAGGATGCTGACATTCAGGTAATAAATGATAAAACTGCTGTAATGATCTTTATTTATGGCTGTTTTTTCTGTAGAAGGTTATTATGTTTACTCACAGATACATACATTTTCATGTAGTTAAATAATAAAAGCATCCTGAGGAACTGCTCTCTGTTCAGTGGACATAATTTCAGTCCATAATGAATATCTGCAGTTCCTAGACTACTAGCACTGTCATCTAAAAAGCCACTAATATTGTAATAAGCAGAAGCAGTAAATTGTTGATTTACAAGAGGTCAATAAAGGAGCATTGCTTTCCCTGATCTAATGCAGTTGTATTTAATATTACCATATAAACCAGAATTTTAATTTTCCTTGAGAAATGTAGGGCTCTCATCTGATCTTGTCCATCCCCAAATGCCCGTGTCTAATGCAGGAACTGAGCTTCTCTCTGAGGGGCCTGTGCTGCCCAAGGGTGAAGGGTCTCAGCCCAGCCTTGCCCTGCAGTCAGAATGGAGCCTTTCTCAGCTGTCTCTCAGGGAAGCCCTCCTCATCCTCCTTTTCCAGCCACAGCATCCTCTTCACTCCTCATACGTTTCACTCCCTGCAAATCAAAAACATGTAAATGTAGCATGAGGCTGTTGGCACCTGCACACCACATCCTGGTCTGCACTGTCAGCACATGGTGTTAATAAAAATGAGTATAGCAAAGCTGGTCTTTACCCACAGGTTCTGCTGGGCTGCTTCTTGCATTACACCCTGCTGTAGCAGGGAACAAACAATCAGGCTTGCATCTGTCTTCTCTTTTGGCACTCTCCTGAGGCTGCTGTAGCTGCAGACAGGTGTTCTGGCAGGCACAAGCTATGGGATAGATTCTTCTGGCTTGGGAAGTAAGGCCAGTGGTGGACATACTGGAGCATTCCTGTATTCTGTATGATATTTATGGAAGTAGTAAGATCTCTTTATTCTTATGTTTTTGAATTGATACATTTGCTGGTAAAATGGTTCTGTCCCTTGGGTTGTTGCTGTGAACAGCAGAAACAAGTTTTCTGTCATTGGTGTGCTGTGTACTCATGGGGCAAGTCTTTTCTCTGGCAGCTGTGAAGAGAGATATTTCTTTGGCACCTACAAGCAGCCAAACTGATGGGGACAAATAAAAAAACCTTGTAGTCAAAGGGGAATAGTAGAACATCTGTTAACATTTTTGTCATTAATATTCTTGGGAGCTGGGGCTGTGTGCATGCTCAGATTAGTATTGCCCTACATCTCATGCAGTAAAACATGGTCCAGTGAGATCAATTTAGCCCATGAAATAATACAAGTCAGGGCACTGGGGATGCTGTCACTTGTGAGATGGAAATGCCACCTCTGAGACAAACGTGCAGGTTGGTTGCAGCACTGCCCAGGTGAGAAACATGAAAGCACTGGGAAGGTGGTTTTTAGTCATCCTTGCACTGACAGGTCAGATCTGAAACACAGGAGGTGATGTGGACATGGGCAGGCAGGTGGAGGTGTCCTGCCTCCCTCTAGACCCTGCCACTTGCTCAGGGCTGGTGCAGCTGAGTGTGCACAGAGAGCTTGCAGGGCTGGGCTCTGGCCCTCAGATGAAGGTCCTTATCTCCAGGAGAGGAGTTCCATTTTGCCTGGGTTCCTTAAAGGCTTAGTGGATCACACAACAGACAAATGCTTCCTGTTCCGAGAAGGGGGCAGAGGGAATGAAGGGGAGAGGAGCACGTCTCAGTCTTGCTCAGAGGAATGTTGGTGTGTTTTATATGAAACCATCCTGAGATAAAATACACAGCTGCTCTGCTGCCTCCCAGCTCTGCCTCTCTTATTGTCAGGAGGGCTTTAGCCCTTAGGCTGGAGAGCCCCATCGTGCTCACACAGAACAGACCCTCCCCTCCTCATGTTCCTGCTCAGCTCTGACTGTGCCATTTGAAGTAGCAGCAGGTTGGGACAAGAATGAGCAAGGCCCTGTCCTGCAGCTCTGCAGTGCCAGGCAGGAGGGATTGATCAGGTCTGAGCTCCCTTTGCCCGGGGCAGGAGGATGGAGCTGGATTCAGGAGTTGTTTCTGTGCTGGTGCTGATGCTCTGCAGAAGGAACAGCAGTTGCTACATGCTGCTGTCATGGCAGCTGCTTGGATGGATGGCTGCCTGCAGCTTGCTGAGCTCCCAGCAGTGAGCAGGGATGGAACTGGCTCTGGGCTGGGCATTGTGCCATGTGCAGCTGCCTTCAGAGTTGTGCCGAGCTCTCCTCACCACCGGGGACAGGTACTCTGCGGGGCCATCCCCATTCTCTGGAGATCAGGCTTTGGCAGAAGGGAGTGGCAGCACTGGTGACCTCCATGTGGCACAAGGGCTTGTTTTCTATAATTTGGCCTTCCCATGGTTTGTGGGTGTTTTCTGAATGCTGTATTGAATTTGATTCTGTCTGCTCCCCCCTTTTTCAGTCCTTTGAATGAGCAAAATTAGGGAGAGAGGGGAGAACAAAATAAAAACAGTTATTTATTTATTTATTTACCCCTAGAGGCTTTTCAATCAAAATAATTGAGATTATGGGGTCAGGATGAATATAATATTTCTGTGTTAAGTACTTGCCTACTTTGTGGGATGTTTTGTACAGATTCTTCACTAAATTATCTTAGCTGCTGTTGCTAGGTAACATTGTTTGCTTCATAGCTTCAGAGAAACAAGAGGGTCAAAGAGTGCAATTCCATGTTATTATCATCTGAGTTATACTAATAAGGTTTTCATTGTGTGTCTTAGATATCTTTTGCCCTTTTTTTTTCTTTTTAGGGAACGTCATTGTCTATGGGAATACAATTGACATGTACACCACGGTAGAAAGCCTCTTGTCCTTAGGGATTGATGGTTCCCGCATCCATCTTGTGCAGGCTCCGCTCAGCTCTGCCGGTCCCTGCCTCGCCGACGCCAGCCTGGAGCGCGCCCTGGGGGAGACCCTGGCAGAGGCGGGCGTGGCCGTGCACCCGGACAGCGTCCTGACACAGTGGGGACAGGGTGACCGTGGCCTCATCACCTGGGCTGCCTTCACCTCTGCCTCTCACCTCCTCCACCTGCAGTGCTCAGTAAGTACGCGCTTCCCACGCCTCTCCTTCAGGCTGGTTTTTTTAACACAAAAGGCATCAAATTTACCTGCTCCCTCACAGATTTATCTATTTCCTCATTGTCTCTAGGAGATGGAATATTCACTTGTTAGTCTCAATGATTTTTTTTTTAAATCCGAATAAACCTATTGTTAATGTCCTGACTGATATGGATTAAAATGTATTTAAGTCACCTGACACACAAGTAATTGTGACTGCTGAGTGACAAATACTCTTAAATAATTTTCAAAGTAATTCCAGAAATCCTTTTCTTATTTAAATGTGCAGTTACTCTTGTCTATAGTTATGTGCATTTGTCATAGTAGAGGCCAAAAACACTGGGATAGTATGTAACAATGAAAATATATTTTAAGCAAGTTCCTTTTCCTCTGCATCAATGATTGCACTTTTTTTCACTTCCAGTACCAATATCTTACGGAAGCTGTCGGCATGTTCACAGGTGTGGCTCTGCTCTGAGACTGGGTACAGGTTCTAGCCTTTCCTAAGGGCCAGCATATTTCTGTTTTCCTTTATTGGGCTAATCCACAGGAGTGAGTCACTTCAAAACCTGCATCCATAGGGAGCCACCAAGACCCTCTGCACTCCCCGCTGTGCGTGCCCTCCTCTGTGCAGCTGTTGGGGTTAACTGTGGAGAGGGTGAGCCCTGTGCCTCTTCCAGAGAGCTTCCCAGGTGTTGGGGTCCCTGCTGGCCTCCCTGCTCTGCAGCCCTTTGCTTTTTCACATAGGGATGGTTAAGCCATTTGTGATAAGGGTGAAGACCTCACACAGCACTTCTGTCCATAGCAGTCTCCTGACTTTGGTCTCCATATCAGTAGTGATGTTCCTCCCACTCTCTCCCTGTATGCAGCTTTTTAAGTTCTCTCCTTTTTCCTTGAAATCTCTCTATTTTTATCCGTCCACAAAAATCTCAACGTGGTTCTTGGTTTTGCAGCTTGGTATCTACTGACCAGCTCCCCTTCAGCCCCCTCGTTTCCCCACCACCTTGTCAGCATGGCCTGCACTGTTCCTTCAGATGCCCCTTGCCTTGGGGTTTCTTTCTCCTGTTTGTGCCCCATGCTCCTCCTTCCTCCATCCACGGTCCTTCCCTGTGGAGGTCTCTCTTTCACAGCCTCCAAGATGAAAGACCTGCAATTACTTGTGATGTTGAGGGCTTTGTATTCTCCAAAACCAGTTCAGCTGCCATGCAAGGCTCCTGTAACTGCCTCCAGCCATGTGGGAGGCTGGACTCAGACGAGGAGCAGGCTCTGGAGAGCAGCTACACCGGGAAGGCAGCTGCACTCACAAGAGGCCAGGCTCTGCAGGAATCGTCTCTGCAGCAGCTCTGGGCCTTTTGGGATTTCAGCCAGTATCAACTGTTGATTGGCAGTTCTTGGGGACTTAATTTGTTGAGTCCTGCAGGATAAAAACAACAGGAGAAAATCTCTTCTTTCCCTAAAGCAGCAGCCTCCCTCTTCCCTACCTCCTGCCCAGGCTGACAGATGGCTCCCACCTGGAGGTTGCAGCCCTCCCCTCTAGTGACACTGTCCTGCCTGTCAGCTGGCAGGATGTGGGGCTGTGTGGTCCTCTTGCCCTCATGGGCAGAGCTTCCTTGATTTTTGGCTCCCTGAGATGGTCAAAATTCTCTCAGCTGTGCACAGTTAATCACTTAGTTTATCTATGAACAAGCCCAGGGGCTCTGGCTCCTTCACTGCCCCATCTCTGCTTATGCCAGTGCTGCTAAAATTTCCAGCTCCCTGTGCCTTTTCTTTCAGGCATTCGAGTATCTGACACTTGTCCTTAGTCCCCAAGAAAGTTCTTTGGGGGTACAACTGGGTAACAGTCCAGATTTATCCTGAGCTGGTGCTAAGGGAAGGACAGTTTACAGATGCTGCTTTGGCCTGGCACAATTAAGTCTTGGACTGTTCAGAATGAAGATGGCAAGGGAAAATGTGCTCATCTGAGACCCTTCCATCCTTTCTTCAGCCAGTAAAGGAATATTTCTTGCTGTAAGAGCAGCAATTAGTTGTCTGATGGTTTTAAAAGCTGAGGGCACACACAGTATGTGGGCTGAGGGCACTGAAACTCACTCCCATGAGTTTCACTGACTCAGGAAAAGCTCAGTGTGAGGGCTCTGGGACTTCACAGACCCTTGGAACAGTGTCTTCATCTGGGCCCTTTGCACACTGTGGTCTTGTTCAAAACATCTCTCAGCCTTGTCATTCTTATTCCTTTCACCTCCCTGTAGCCAGTGGGCACTCTTGACTTACACTCATTTGGGGATTGTGTTCTGCCAGCTCTCAGTTTATCATTTGCCAGAGAAAGCCTTGAGGATGCTGCTCATGGTTGTTGCTTCTCCCCCACCTGCTGTCTGCTCCCAGCACCACCTCCTTTGCCATGCTGGTCATGCTGTCCCAGCTTCTATGGGGGGAGAGGAGCTCTGCTTCCTTGTGCCTCAGGTCAGGGACTGTGCCCATGCCATGAGAAAACAAAAGGAGAGAATTATCACATGACGTTTTTTTTTCTTTGAGACTTAGAGCAGGAATTTATGTATTTAGGGTCCTTGGCCTCTGCAGCTTCCACTGACTGAAATTCTGCTGCTGTAGCTGAAATAAGGAAGACTTTTCCTTCTGAACAAGTTTAATTTCTGATCTTTCCATTTCATTGACTGTCCATGTGCTGGTTAGCCAAAGTAACTCAGTTTGCTGGTAAACAGGCTCAACAGTTGGGAAAACCCTTGTAATGTGCAATTATCCTGCTAAATTCCAAGTACATGGGTGCTTTTCTGTTCCTTGGGGTTTCAGGTTGGCTTGAGCATTTGAAAGAAAACAAACTTCACAAAAGGTTCACATCTATGTTCCATGCTTGGACTAACACATGCAAAAAACATGCAGAGCCACTCAGGCTGTTTGATGTGCAAATGTTGGAGTTTTTAACTATCTAATAACCAGAAGCAGATGAGTCTAGTTTAGTAATTCTCCTTTCTTCTGTCTTAGTCTTAACTTTGGTAGCTGTAAATGCTGGATCAGAAGGACCTCTCTGCTGTGACAGTGTGGCTGAAATCACACTGTATTTCATGTTCTTGTTTTGTAAAGTAACATTCAGAATAAAGTCTGGGTTTTGATTTATGAAATCATCCAGTAAGTAATATAAAATTATCTTCACTTTTTTACATCTCTTTTTAGGCATTTTTTAGCTTTGCCTACAGGACTCTGGATTATGAAACCTTTGAGGCTATCACTGATGCTTGCCTTGTCTTTGATGGAAAAGTTGTGATCGATGCCAAATTCCACACCAATGATGCCAGCATCAGGGCTGCAGGTCCTCTGACAAAGTTCTCCAGGAGATACTATAGGGATGAATTAACCCACAGCAACTTCAACTCCAGGGAGATTGGCTTTGAGCTTGCTGCTTCCATGCTGAGTCTCTTTGATTCATCCCCTCAGCCCAGTTCCGAGCCACCAGAAGGTTCAGACAGACTCATCCCCATATACAGAAGGTGTAAAGTTCAAGGTATGTCCAGCTGGATTTCTGTCACATTTCCAGCCCCTCTCAGTATTTTTGCTCTTCTATATACAGGCAGGTCTGTCTCACCTCAGGTGCCATCTCATGGCAGTACAGCACTCAAGGCTCCTTACATACTGGAAAAAGATAATGGCAGAAGGAGGATGAACAAATACATTATTTTCTTCATTGTTAATGACTTAATAAATCTCATATTTTCATTTATGGCAGGTGGTGTTCTTCCTGGAGGTTATAACTACTTGCATATTTCCAAGCCTGGAATCCCCATGCCCTTGGATGCAGAACATGACCAGTGTGATTATGTAAGTTAAATAATGGAACTTTTCTTGTTTTGTCCTCCCTGTTTGTTTGAAAAGATGTTCCTGTTTAGGGTAGGTGGTTCTGGAAGCACAGTATACACCAGGTACAGCTGGAGAGAAAATCAGGAGCAGTCACAGAACTAACTGAACCTCTTGGGTGTTCCTTTCCACACTTCCTGATACTTGGCTTTCTCCAAAGATGTCTGGTTTCCTTGCAGAGGACACAGGACAGTATTAGCAGCATTTCATGCTTTCAGCCTTCTTTGCTCCCTGCAGTATGTGCTGCAAGTGCATACAGATGATGGCAGTCTGGCAGGGAGATTCAGCTGATTTCTAGAAGAGCAGGAAGTATTGTGGAAGAGATGCTCTGTGCTGCTAGAACATAGCAAGTCCTGCAGCTGTGAGAGTTGTCTTGGAACAGGGCACAGGGGGAACTCCCCATGCTGGGCTACATGGGAGATTTTCCCAGGATAAAAACATGGGAGTGTTTCTCTTACTGGAGAATCTGACTTGGGGCAAGAAAAGGACTAGATTAATGTCTTTTAAAGCCAGAGATGACTTTCCACCTAGGCAAGATCCTCTTTCACATAGATTCTACCTTTTTCCTTGGGAATTTCTGCATCAAGGCCATTTTTGCAGTTGATTTAAAGAGCAGCTTTTAAAAAGCTACTTCAGTGCTGATTCTGAAACCTGAACAGCAATGAAACAAATGGGCTTTTTAAAAAGAAAATGGTTTAGGGAGAGGAATCAAAGCATGGCTCACCTTGCTTTTCAGATCCAGGATGAGCCATCCAAAGCAGCATGTAGTGGAGAGCAGAAAAGACTGTCAGAGAGAGGAATTGGTTTTTTTACTCCAAATTGCTAGAATATGATTAGACTTATTTTGCTGCCACTCTGATTACCTGCTGATTACCTGAAAAGGGACGATATTTTTTTAAGCCACTCCAGAAACTTCATAAATCCTAAAAGAATTTTCTAAGAAAAAAGTAAGAGAAGCTAGTGAAAGGTACTAGCTTAGGTGTGGAAATACTAAAGGTTTCTGTAGCCTAGCAACAGGTTGTTGAAATGTATAAAACTGTGACAGGAATACAGCTGGAAAAAATAGCTTCAAGCTATCTGATCATCCCACTTCAATGTGAGATTTGAAGGAAATTTTTACATTTTAATCTAAGTGATTGATTGAAGTAGCTGAAGCTAAATGCTACAGTGAGTGTGAATGTCCAATATTGGTGTTCTTTTATTGACAGTAAACGTGATATGTCATGTGTGTGCTCTGTGTCCTAAAGGAGGCTGAACAGGGTTCACTTGAGTTACCCAAACAGAGCTATCCAGTGTTGTTTGGGATGCCCCAGGTCATCCCTCCTGACTCCAGCTGCTGCTCCAGGAGGTCACAGGTCCCTGCGGATCCGGTGTCACAACCGCCAGCACAGCCGGAGGGCCTGGATCCCCCAGGTGTCTGCAGTGACAGTGGGACGGGCAGTAACCAAACCAAACCACATGGAAAATCTGTGTCCAAACCACAGCGACATGCCCCGCTGTGCCAGGAGTGGTCTCTGGATTTTAACAGGAGGATTGTGGACATTAAGCAGTGATGTCTAGGGGCTGGGAAGGCCTCGCTGACCCTGTGCGTGTGCCAGGTCAGCTGTTCTGCTGTCTCCACAGCTTTCCTGGTGTTTTCTGTTCCAGGGGATGGAGATTGTAACCGGGGAGGCCAGTCATGGGAATTACTTCAGGATACACTTCAGCAGATACAATATGGTGGACAGCATCACCTGCTTTTCCAAGGAGCCCTTCCCTGTCTCCAACTACATCTGCTTGTACGGACAGCACGAGCGCCTCCTCAATGATCTGTATTACCGCTGGAGGGCCGGGCAGCTCACAGACCTCTACAGGTGAGAGGAGCTCCTTGTGCCCAAAATCTACCTTCTGGCAGAATTTCACGTTTGTCTTATTGTGCTTTGTCTTTTGGCTGTTTTCCCTTGGAACAAAAGGTAGAAAAACAGATTTAAAAAGATTTTTCCATTCTTTAGCAAAATTGTCAGTAAAAATGCAAGTCCCAAAGACCTTCCTAGAAAGAGCTGTGTGTCTGAGATTTACTTAGAGGAAGAGCAATGGTTGACTTGACTATCTTTCATCTGAACAAGCATTTAGGTGTCTTTATCACTTTTGGTTAGAATATTCAGTAGGTTAGTTAATCATTAGGCTGAACCTGAACAATCTTTTATTACTGAAGATTCATGTTCAAAAGTTGATTTTAAAAGTATTTTTGTGGCTTTGAATCAAATTTTCAAGCCAGAGGTTTGTAGGGAGATTTTACATAACTCACGGTGATAGTCATGCTCAACAACTTCCTATTTTTATCTGGTGAGAGATACTGAACGGCCTGGTTGGTTCTAATCATGTGCCATCTCCTCTGAGGGAATGTTTCATTGCTTTTGATTTTCATTTGAAGAAATCCCTCACAAATGGTGCTTTGGAACATAAACTGTCACAGATGGAGTAGTGATGTTCAGCCTTATATCAGCTGGGTAGAGACAGAAAGCCAGGCTCAGGAACAAATGATCAGTTTTCACTGTGATACAATGTGGTGCCTGAAACATTTCCAGGTTTGATTTTCTTCTATTTACAAGTGATTAGAAGATAGGCACAAATGGTATAAAATTTTTCATATTAAATGTTGTTATTTAGATAACAGTTTGTAAAAGTTTGCTGTGAAGGGTGTACTGTGGTCCAGAAGATGCTTGTGAATATTGCTGCCATAGGGCTTGATTACAATTTAAAGCAAATGTTGGGGTTGTTGTACAAGAGAGGAACGGGGCACAGCAGATGTGAAGTTCACCTGAACAGCACAGTGTCAAGGAGTGTTGAAGAGGAACTGAAGGAGGGTGACACAAGTGCATGAGAGATGGGCTAAGCAGTTGATTTCCTCTCCTTGTCATGGCTTATGCTGATGGTGCATTTGGAGCACTAGAAGAGCTCCTCAGGCTGTGCAAGGTACCATCAGTGCTTTCGGGGGCATTACAGTGTGTACACACCTCGTGAGCTCACCTTTTCCGTGAGCCACGCTGAGGTGTGGTCAGGGGCATTTGTTAGATGCACCAGCAAATTTCACACCAGCAGTAACATCTGGAAGAATAAATCATCCTGCTTTGGGATTTCAGCCTGCAGCACAGGTAGCAGTATTTTCCTGACCTTGACCAAAGGATCACTGGTGTGCTGCACAGAGGGATAGCATGTGTCAGGGCCTCATCACATCCCTTCAGCTCTCCTTAATTAGTGATGATGAACTAATTTTGGACTTGTCTTTTACAGCCATTAGACAATGATGTTGTTTGGGACCTTTTGCCTCATTATTTTATCTTACCTCTCATTAGCCTGTGGCAGAATTCCTGAATTACAGTTGCCAGGTTTTTCTTATCTGTTTTTTTTTTATTGCCTCCAGTTGTTTTCAGTCTTCTTTCTACCTTATCTTTAGATAGATTTGTTCCTTCTCTTCTTGCTCTTTGGTCATATGAATGAACTCCCATATGTTGCTCTGCAGCAGTGAACATATGCTGCTCTTTAATCCTTGCTCATGTGGTTGTTGTGGCACTTCAACACACACACAGAGACACTCCCACTCATCCCAGTTTGGTGTTCTGTTACACATGTCTGTCCTGTGAGGAGGGAGCATTCTCCAGCAGGTGTAACAGGTAAACTCCCTGGCATCCCCATGGAGCAGTCCTGGCACACAGCAAGCTGGCAAAGAAATTTGCTGCTTTCAGAAGGACATGGAGCAACAGGAAGGCTGGCAGTATAATGTACTCTCATAATATATCACATCTGCAACGTATCTACCTCCCTACAGTACAGTGTCACATAAAATGTGCATACATGTGTGTGCAGTGTGCAATAGATGCTGTTAAAACCAAGCCATGAGAAGACTGTTTGTTAGAAAACCATTACACTGAAAAATGGTTTAGCATCTCTTGTGAGTTGTCCTGAGACTTTTATGTAGAGAAAAAGTGGTGCCTGGTTGGCTTTCGGTACAGAATAGGAAAATGCATTCACTGATTTCTGTATGTGTGATGAAAGAACAACTGTTTTTGGCTTGTTCATGTAGTCTGTGAGGATCCCACATGGACACAAACCTGATGACAAACCTGATGTTAGGACTGAGTTCCTGTCTTTGGATTTCAAAACATTCCTTTTAAACTAGTACCTGTTACACTTGCATCCACATCTACTGGCAAGATGTGAAGTGCCCTCAGTGAAACAAAAATAGAAACTGTGAAAATGTGGTGTGCTAGTTCAGCTTGTAAACTTGATGGTTGGAAACATCTGTTCCCCTCCTCTCTTCTTTATGCCTCTCTTTTGGGAAGAGCCTTCCTACAAGGCAAGAAAATGCAGTGTTTTAATCTTTTGGTCTGCATTTAGATTTCCCAGCATGGCATCTCGTTCCAGGAATGGACACAGTGGAACAGCTGTCACCTGGGAGCTAATTTATTTCTGTGTAGCATGCAAATTATCTTTTAAATAATTAGAGACTGCACCTAGCAGTGAATTTCCTCACTGATTTGCGTTCAGTGTAAGCGCTGAAAGTTAACCCCATGGTACTGGATTTCCTGGCCAGAATGTGCCAATGCCATTCTCAAATTAGCTTTCACAACAGGCCTCTGAGATCCAACAAACTTGACAAAGTCCTTCCTTCTGGTTGTGTGCCTGGAACCATAGCTAATGGGAATAATGAGAGAAACAACATTTCCTTTTGTCTGGAGAAAAGTTCCATTGGTTTGGGTATGAGTTCAGCAGGATTTAAAAGCTTCAGGACTTGACCCACAACCAAAGGAAGGCTTGGTCACTGCTCTGCCTCAGTAGCTGGGCTCTTGGAGGAGATGAAGCAGTGGGCACACATTGTCCTCCCTTCCAGTTGCCTCGTGCCATGCAGTGGGTGCTCTCCTTGAACCTGGGCCTGCAGCCAGTGCATTTCTGAGCCGAGGGGCCTCTCAGTGCAGTTCTTCTATGCTAGGGCAGGAAAAAATGTAGGAGCCAAAGACTCATCACCTGTGAGTTGAATGGCATTACTCACTAGATTTGGAATCCACTTCAGGAAGGAGTTTTCTGCAATTGTTATTCATTTCCCATCAGGCTGCATCTCAAAAAGTCAGCTAGAATTTGAATCCCCAAGAGCAAGGCTCTTTCTTGCAGGGAGTCTTCTCCTGAAGAAAAAAGAAAGCAAATTCTGGTAATGTGCCCTGAAGGGATACCATGCTGTACTCCATGCTCCTAGCCCCCCTCACTTGCTGAAAGGCCTTCAGATTATTTCCATTATTATTGCCCTAGCAGCAGATAAAAGAGAACGGTGGAGAGAGAGGTCTGAAGCTTTTTTTCTTTTCTTTTTAAGTTTATAGATTTACTGGTCATCAGTCCTCTACTTCACAGAGAAGGAATGCAACCAGCATTCCTTTTGTGTCCTCCTGAGCTGAAGGCAGCTGCAAGGCAGTTGCCAAGTTATAGAACATGTCCACAGAGCAGTGGAATCTCCCTCTGCTGCATCTTAAGTACAAAACAGATAATTAGAAGAGTCTCCTGATACTTAGCAACCAAACGAATGCTCACTGGCATCATGCCTTTAATCTGAGATAGAAGTGCTTCATGTAAGGTTCATTTGGCATTAATGAAAATCAAATCTAACATAAATGCATAAAAATCTGACCCACTAGTTTCTAAAATACCTAAAGAGCTTGTTTTGCAAATGAGGTGTGAGTGGCTTTTACTTGGGATTTTTTAATTGTGTATTAATGAACTTGTTGTCAGCCATGACATGCAGAAGATGCCTCTTGTGTCTCAGTCACGTGGCACTCACAGCAGCGGTGAGGCAAGGACAGCACAAGGTGGGAGCACAGGGTCAGGCCTGGGGAGCAGTGCACAAAGGCAGGGCATGTTTTAATGAGGGATGAGCAGAGGAACCTCACAGGCATGGTCATCCGGGCAGAGCTCAAAACCTGGTGGTTATTTTTTGTTTCAATAGCTTCGTTTCCAGGACTTGTCAAACTGGACAATTTGCTTGCTCTGCACAGGGATCTTGGGCACCATGAGGGGGGAGAAGCCCCCAGCAGACATGATCAGGGCTCTTTGGCAAGAAGGAGTTGGGAGAGTGGGTTTTATGGCAGTACTTGAGTGTAGGACAAAAAGCACAGGGGATTTAGGTGCGTTGTAGTCACAAAGGAATGTTTTCTCCCCAGTGCCCAAGTGCAGGTAGGATTCAGTTTTCACTGAGGATGGGGAACAGGTGATCCATGCATGGATCTGTGGAGATCCATGCCAGGTGGTTCTCAGCAAGCCTGCGTGCTGCTGTCCAGGAGCTGGGCACCCTGAAAAAAATCACACAAAGTGGCACAGCTTCAACTGCACCAGGTACTGACAGGCCATGGAACATGAGGCTGCCAAACATGCTGCAGGAATATGTGAAGGGAGTCAGGCTCCCTTTCCCTGAGAGGCTTTGGAAAATCCACCCAGAAACTGTAAACATGGATAACAGCACCAGATGTTTCCTTGGCTGCTCTCTTCAAGCCCTGTCTCTTATTTTCACATTGCAGTTTCATATTAACTGTACAAGCTAAATGCTCAAAAGTACTTTGAGCTGCATGAACTGAATTCACTTATTTTGAAGTAACCATTTAGGTTTTTCCACTGAAGTTCAACTCCCACATCCTGGTGTTGTTAACATTAGGCTGAAGGTAATCTGCTAAGCAGTGTCATTCAGTGAGACTTAAGCACAAACACCACACTGGACTGTTTATTGACTCAATGCTAATAAAGCTCACAATATAACAAATGCATTAAGGAAAAGAACAACATTTGATCTTTTCAGCATTATTGTTGAAAGGTAGAGAGAATTTCTTTACTTACA